GATCAAGTTCGGATCAAATTCAAATCCAGTTTATCACTTACTTTTTATTGCCAGAATGTTTGCCGTGTATTGTAAAGTTACGTTGCACAATATAAAAAATTAGTGTAACATTTAAATTTCCCACTATGATGCTTATACTGAAATCAAACTCATTTAATTCTAACATTGTAATAATTTTTTTAGAAAAACTTCAATATCTCCTTTCTTCAATAATAATAATAACCAATTATGAGTTCAAAATCTGACAAAGATACTTTAATTGATATGGGCTTTTCGTCGGATATGGTGTTAGTAATAAATAAATTATTGATTAATAGTTATTGCTCACATATAACTAAACTTTCTGGTTATATTATTATTGTTTGTTGCTATTAGGGATAAAGCAATGAAGGCTACAAAAGGTGCAGGTTTACAACCTGCTATGGATTGGTACGTAACGTAGATATTAATGTAATTAAATAAATATACTTATTGATTGAATTTTACAAATATCTCACATACACTCTCTCAAAAGGTTATTATCACATCCTGACGGCGATATTGGACAACAAATTGGTGAATCTTCCTCCTCCTCTTCTTCTACAGTCAAAAATAATGAAGATGATGGTAATCAATCAATCATTAATTGATTAGAATTTTCTATTTTTCGGAGGATTTTAATTTGATTTTTTTTATGTAAATTATTTACACTGGTTGGTTATTAAATTAAAGATGGTGAAATTAAAGACGGTGAACAAACAGCCCAATCATTACAATGCAACGATTGTGACAAATTATTTAGAGATTGTATGTATTTATTTTAAGTTGATTACAATTATTATTTCTTTAAAAATTATTTATATATTTATTTTAAATACAAAGATAATAAGACTACACATGCAAATTTTAATACAGCAATATTAATTATTTTTATCACCAAATATAACATTATGTTTCAGACATGGAATGATATAATTGTCTAATATTTTTTTTAAATGTAGTGCGATAAACTTTACCAGTAGTTCTATTCTTTGCTGTTGCAACAATTTCCATAGATCCAAAATGTAATGTTACTTGTACAGAACGATTGAGCCCCAAATGAGTGTCAGGCATATCAACATCAAAACTACCCAATTCTTTCACCTCAGGTTCATCACAATATGTTGCATCATATTTGGTGGTATAAAAAAAGTGAAGTGTTCCACTGGTTTGATTGGGGTTAATAGGGCCCAAATAACTGGAAAATTCTTTGTTAACATTCACCTCTGTTCCTTTCCTGGCCATCAAACTAAACTTGTAGATTCGGCCATTTATTGTTTTACGAGATAGTGGATCACCAGTTTGCTAATGTTAAAAAAGTTAGTTTTGTTATTTGGATAATATAATATTGATAATATATTACTGTTTAGTTTTGGTTGATGATGCTTACCCATTTATCACTAATTTTAATTCCATATGACCATAATAATACTCTTGTTCTTACAATCTTCCTATCAAGTCCATATTCACATGCACCCTTTACTATTGCAGTAATTGGATTGGGTGGAACTATAATAAACAAAATATTTATTAACTGATT